TCTTTACATTGTTCTTTTTATGTACAGTGTCCTGAGACAACGTATGTTGTGACTTGGCGCTATATAAATAATCTGAATTTGAACTTGAACACGATACACATGGATTTTATTTTGAAATCAAAAGTTTCACAAACAAAACATCGATGCACTTTCAACTGTTTACTCGTCTACCACAGAATGAATTAGTTTGTCTTGACTTCTACATTTATTACAGAATTTATTGCATGATCTCGCATTTCCTGCACACATTTCTGCGAGTATTACTTTGTATTGTTTGTACTAAACACAAAGTTCCCAGAAGCAACTGTTTTATTAGGTTCTATACCTCCCATGATGAGGGTCTAGCCCCCCAGGGGTCTGGAGGAGTGGGTGGGGGTTTAGACTGACTGTGTGTACCCTCTTCTCTTCTCCCAGTGTAATATGGAACACAGAAAAACAGCATGCATGATCACAACTGACAAACCTGTGGACCTCCGTAAACAAAGAGAACAGTGGGGTGTTTCCAGCCAGGCTGCAGGTTGTGAGGCTTGTACACCATCCCATACAGCTGGAAGCCAGACTTCCCAGGAAAGTCAAAAATCTCTGGTGGATTGTAATCTCCAGGGCAACCTGAAAGAAGTGTTAACACATGATCATCGTTAAAAGGCTTTTTTTTACTCCACCTTGACCTGAAATTACAAAAAATTTATGCAACACGTTTTACAAGTTGTTTTGGCTAAGTAGTTTGGTATCCAGGGCATTGCAAATCTCAACAAAAACACCCAACAACTAGACTTCTACTCTGTGGAGACATTTTGCTTCTCATTCAAGGAGCTCAAAGCTGGAGAGTGTAAAGTTCCAAGCTTTAAATTTGGTATGGTTGTGTGCACCACACTGAACATAGAGCAAAGAAAACAAAGATGAGAGCTGTCTGAGGAGCTCCAGAAAAAAAATTATAGGTATTTATCTTAAAGCTAAAGTATAGATGACCATCTCCAAGCAGCTTTACGTTCYCGTGCTCACAGCTGCCTTTATAATTAAAAAGTACGGGTGTAAGAAAATATCGATATACTGAAATATCACGATATTTCATTTCCCGATACTGTATCGATATTCTAAAGCTCTGTATCGATTTTTATTAAGGTTTAAAACGTCAACTTTCCTGCCAGCCATTCATTTTATGTTGTAGTTCAGCCTCTGACCACTAGTTGGCAGCAGTGAGCCAAGCATTTGGCTCCTCTACCTCTTGAGCACCAGAGAGTAAGTGTAGCATTAGCATTGTGAGTAAACATTAGCTTCATGCTCCGATAGCTGAATATGAGCAGAAAAGACCGACACCCTCTGCCTTCTAAGCTGAGGTAAGGTTACAGTTACTTATTTGTCACAATGTCTGTATTTTAAGACAAATTAAGTGTTTCATGCACTCTTTTTCCAACTGTAGTCACGTTACGGAAGGCAGGCATATAGAGCATGCGTCTATTTACTTTAAGTTCACCCGCTTCGGATGTTATCATCCATGAAATGGACGTTATTAGGCGTTATCAGTCCCATACAATGGCTTCAGAAGGTCCCGCCTGTGACGGTTAGCAGGTTCCCCATCCCATAGAATGGCTTCCGATTGTCAGCTGGTTAGTGTGAGGCATAAAACCACTATCTGGTTAATATGAGGCTTAAAG